CACCTTGTCGGAAGGTGCATCTCTGCCGTGGGGGGGGGGTATGTAAGGTTAAATAAGGGACAGGGCCGTAAAACAGAGCCAGGCCCTGGATTGTGTACACATTCGACCAAAAGGAGGAAGACGTCCCACTGCAGCTTCAAAGGAACAGCGAGGTCGGCCGGAGGACTATCATTGATCATGGGGATTACAGATGCCAAACAGAGCAATAAAGTCACCACGGGGATAAGCACCTCTGTCTCTGCCTGCCTCTAGAGATCAATGATCACAACCCTGCTCTCGCTCCCAGGACTCCTGCCACCGGACAATCAAAGACTCCCCCGCGGCGCTCTGACGCCCCCTTGTGAACAATGGACACTATCACACCCGGGACGGACAATTGCGAACCAGCACCCCTGGGTCCAGTACTCCAATAATCTGCATTGTGTCCCACATGTGTGTATCAATGTCAAAGTAATGAAATGCGGTGTGTGTTTGTACATGTGTTATGATCATTTGCACCAATCCTGTGTGTTTCCTTTGCGAAATGTCTGTTGTGAAGGGTTTGTCCACAGAGAGGACGGCATGGACACGCCTCCCCTGGGAAGTCAATATAAGCACCCACAAACCTAGAGACTGCCTCTTGTTTCTCCCGAATTCATCATAACAACCATCCCGTTTGGTACGTGTCCCCTACACGGCCTACGCCCGCCACCATCTCGGGCCTGTACATCCACGAGGACAGCAATCACTCTCGCTGTCGGAGACGAGGACCTTCCATCGCCAGCCATTTTCGGGCTCCTGGAACACCCCACCGCAACGCTATTCTAGACCGTGTCGTGTGTGGAACCCACGCCTGGACCCGACCTGCCGGCTCCCTCCTGCTCCCTGTTCGAACAAAGACCACGTGGACGAGGACATCGCCGCCATCCTATTCTTCATTCTCATCCTCCCATCTCCATCTCCATCCTCCTCTTTCCATCAAACATCTCCTCTACGCTCCTCAAAAGTAAGACTGTTCCTTTTGTTAGTGCGTGTTTCAAATGAGATGTGTACAACTCCTGCTTAAATGTGACCAGAAATCCCTTTTTGTTATATTTTTTATCTTAATTTTTGTAATAAATAAAACCCCTTTTCTTTAACTCAACCCTATCAGAGTCGTGTTGTTAGATTTCGGAATATCCCTGGCCGATTTACGCATTCACTACCTTTTGATTATAAGACTGACTCGAGGCAAAGTTGGTTTGGATCTGTGCAGAAGTAACTGCTGGTGCCCTAAAATTTAAAGCAGATCCCCCACTCGAATAGGACGGCTAGCATCTGACTTGTAGACTAGCCGCACTATTCTTCACTACTAAATTTATAGCTTACTGTAATATTATTACCCTACACACATTTAATGGTGTTTTATTTATTTTATTTATTTGGTCTTGTCTAGTTTGGTTTAGTTTGGTTTAGTTTAGTTTTGGGGTGAAAGTAGCTCAGTTGGTAGAGCATTGGCCTTCAGGCCTGAAGGTTGTGGGTTCAATTCCCACCTTCTCCACCGACTCCCACTGATGACTGCTGTCATTGTGTCCTTGGGCAAGACACTTAACCCCACTTTGCCCAAAGCCCCCATTGAAAGATCAAGGCTATGCTCAGAGAGCAGCCGTCCTCCTGTGGACTCCCCACCTGCAGAGGGTCAGTGAGGGGCTGGTGCTATGAGACTTGGGTGGCATCTCTGACTGCCACCCCCCTGACCCAGAAATGGATTAAAGGGTAGAAAATGGATGGATGGTTTAGTTTAGTTTAGTGTAGTTTAGTTTGCACACAGGTGAGATACAAAGATTATATTTTTAAATGAGAAATATAAAATAAATATTTAAACTAATATAACGAAGTCAAAGTTTGTAGATAAATGTTTGAACCAAACCCAGAGGAGGAACCAGGAAACTGACAGTGGTTATGTTCAAGAATGTAGTTCATCAGGAACAAAGAATCTTTTAGAACATGAAGCTTTAACTGCAACGAACATCTTTAAAGACACACGTTTTATTCTTCACACGATCAGAGAAGACCAAACTCAGACATGAACTAACACCTCTTCACTAGACACATTTATTTATTTATTTGGGAGGTACAATGCATATTAATGAACCTTTAACAAATGTAAATATGCCAGATTATAGCCTTAGGCTAATTTCCATCTGCAGACCCCCTGCTGTTGATGTTAACGAAGATCAAAACAAACAAGACATAACAATACAGGACATGTACAAGGACAGACATGACTCTACAGGACATGTACAAGGACAGACCAGACTCTACAGGACATGTACAAGGACAGACAGGACTCTACAGGACATGTACAAGGACAGACCAGACTCTACAGGACATGTACAAGGACAGACCAGACTCTACAGGACATGTACAAGGACAGACCAGACTCTACAGGACATGTACAAGGACAGACATGACTCTACAGGACATGTACAAGGACAGACATGACTCTACAGGACATGTACAAGGACAGACATGACTCTACAGGACATGTACAAGGACAGACCAGACTCTACAGGACATGTACAAGGACAGACATGACTCTACAGGACATGTACAAGGACAGACCAGACTCTACAGGACATGTACAAGGACAGACCAGACTCTACAGGACATGTACAAGGACAGACATGACTCTACAGGACATGTACAAGGACAGACAGGACTCTACAGGACATGTACAAGGACAGACAGGACTCTACAGGACATGTACAAGGACAGACCAGACTCTACAGGACATGTACAAGGACAGACATGACTCTACAGGACATGTACAAGGACAGACCAGACTCTACAGGACATGTACAAGGACAGACCAGACTCTACAGGACATGTACAAGGACAGACCAGACTCTACAGGACATGTACAAGGACAGACAGGACTCTACAGGACATGTACAAGGACAGACATGACTCTACAGGACATGTACAAGGACAGACCAGACTCTACAGGACATGTACAAGGACAGACCAGACTCTACAGGACATGTACAAGGACAGACCAGACTCTACAGGACATGTACAAGGACAGACCAGACTCTACAGGACATGTACAAGGACAGACATGACTCTACAGGACATGTACAAGGACAGACCAGACTCTACAGGACATGTACAAGGACAGACCAGACTCTACAGGACATGTACAAGGACAGACATGACTCTACAGGACATGTACAAGGACAGACATGACTCTACAGGACATGTACAAGGACAGACCAGACTCTACAGGACATGTACAAGGACAGACCAGACTCTACAGGACATGTACAAGGACAGACCAGACTCTACAGGACATGTACAAGGACAGACATGACTCTACAGGACATGTACAAGGACAGACATGACTCTACAGGACATGTACAAGGACAGACATGACTCTACAGGACATGTACAAGGACAGACCAGACTCTACAGGACATGTACAAGGACAGACATGACTCTACAGGACATGTACAAGGACAGACCAGACTCTACAGGACATGTACAAGGACAGACCAGACTCTACAGGACATGTACAAGGACAGACATGACTCTACAGGACATGTACAAGGACAGACAGGACTCTACAGGACATGTACAAGGACAGACAGGACTCTACAGGACATGTACAAGGACAGACCAGACTCTACAGGACATGTACAAGGACAGACATGACTCTACAGGACATGTACAAGGACAGACCAGACTCTACAGGACATGTACAAGGACAGACATGACTCTACAGGACATGTACAAGGACAGACCAGACTCTACAGGACATGTACAAGGACAGACCAGACTCTACAGGACATGTACAAGGACAGACCAGACTCTACAGGACATGTACAAGGACAGACCAGACTCTACAGGACATGTACAAGGACAGACATGACTCTACAGGACATGTACAAGGACAGACCAGACTCTACAGGACATGTACAAGGACAGACCAGACTCTACAGGACATGTACAAGGACAGACATGACTCTACAGGACATGTACAAGGACAGACATGACTCTACAGGACATGTACAAGGACAGACCAGACTCTACAGGACATGTACAAGGACAGACATGACTCTACAGGACATGTACAAGGACAGACCAGACTCTACAGGACATGTACAAGGACAGACCAGACTCTACAGGACATGTACAAGGACAGACCAGACTCTACAGGACATGTACAAGGACAGACCAGACTCTACAGGACATGTACAAGGACAGACCAGACTCTACAGGACAAGTACAAGGACAGACCAGACTCTACAGGACATGTACAAGGACAGACCAGACTCTACAGGACATGTACAAGGACAGACCAGACTCTACAGGACATGTACAAGGACACACCAGACTCTACAGGACATGTACAAGGACAGACCAGACTCTACAGGACATGTACAAGGACAGACCAGACTCTACAGGACATGTACAAGGACAGACCAGACTCTACAGGACATGTACAAGGACAGACCAGACTCTACAGGACATGTACAAGGACAGACCAGACTCTACAGGACATGTACAAGGACAGACCAGACTCTACAGGACAAGTACAAGGACAGACCAGACTCTACAGGACATGTACAAGGACAGACCAGACTCTACAGGACATGTACAAGGACAGACAGGACTCTACAGGACATGTACAAGGACAGACCAGACTCTACAGGACATGTACAAGGACAGACAGGACTCTACAGGACATGTACAAGGACAGACAGGACTCTACTCTAAACCAATCACACCAAAGCAGAGCACATTGTAACCAATGAAAGCGGCCAAATGAGAGTAGCCAGAAGTGTGTGTGCTGTTTACTACAGAGAGGGAGAGAGAGAGGCAGTTTTCACGAGTGAGAGGCCCCAGAGAGAGGCTTTTGACCGAGGCTTTGGGACTTTCTTATGATCGCTCTTTCAAAATGTGGGTTTGGGTTTGGGTTCTGTAAATGGGTGAGGACCATAAAGTCCGGCCCACAGGCTGCAGTCTTTACTAACGGTTTGATGTCTATCTTTTTTGACCTGTCCCGAGGTATAAGACAGGGATGTAGCCATTTTCCTGGAACCACTGGCTCTAAAATGTGTTCAAATATCAACATTAAAGGGGAGAAGGCAGGTGGAATAGAGAAAAAACTATTCTTGTATGCTTTGTATTAGTCGATCCTGAGCATTCAATACAGAATTACTTGCAATCATGTTCCAGGATCTCAGGCTAAAAAATGAAATAAGTAAATCTGAAAGCCATATCCACATCATGCCTTTCTGGATTGGCCTCTGGAATCAATTACTTTGGAATACTTGTGAACCCTGACCTGAATGAAGTAAAGCCCTCTCTTCTACTAAAAATATAAACAAACTTGGAAAAGCAAGTAAATTAAAACTTTGCAGGGGAAAATTAACGTAATAGAGAAGGTGGTGACTCCACAGTTCAATTATGTTTCCATGATGTTTGCAGTTAAAATCTCACCTGAAATATTTTCTCAATTTAAAATGAAATTGACTTAAAAAGATCTTATGGGACAAGAAATGACCGAGGATAAATATGATGAAAATGTGGGGCTCGCGAGATGTGGGAGGAATGGCTCTTCCAAATAAGAGACTGCAGAACTTTGCATTTGAAATGTCAAAACTTGTTAAACACTGGATTTAGGCTGAGATTAGGACTGGGAAGGAACTGGTCCGTTTACACCTCTGGAGTTCTTATCCCAGGACACCAACACAAAGAAGACAGAACTGTGAGACAGCCCTGTACTTTTCTCAAAACATGTTTGAGAGAGTTGCATAAGTTTGTGCAGTGTCACATTAGAGACCACCACGTGCTTCACTGTGGTAGAATTCAGAGATATGGATGGAAAAGGCACTTTATGTGAAAGAGTGGATTGACAAAGGAATACATGTAATTCTCTAAAACTATGGAGAGAAAAGGTCTTATGAACATTTAGTTTGGGAAAAAGAGGCAACTTTTGGAGGGATTGCATCATCAAAGGCCATATTAAAAATGCAATTATATTACACAAGATATCACATGGGCTCTTTCACACAGGTACATGGGTTGGAGTGATCACAGGTACGTGGGTTGTAGTGATCGCAGGTACATGGGTTGGAGTGATCACAGGTACGTGGGTTGGAGTGATCGCAGGTACATGGGTTGGACCACATAGGTACAAGGGTCGGAGTGATCACAGATACATGGTTTGGAGTGATCACAGGTACATGGGTTGGAGTGATCACAGGTAAATGGGTTGGAGTGATCACAGGTGCATGGGTTGGAGTGATCACAGGTACATGGGTTGGAGTGATCACAGGTACATGGGTTGGAGTGATCACAGGTCCATGGGTTGGAGTGATCGCAGGTACATGGGTTGGAGTGATCACAGGTACGTGGGTTGGAGTGATCGCAGGTACATGGGTTGGAGTGATCACAGGTCCATGGGTTGGAGTGATCACAGGTACGTGGGTTGGAGTGATCGCAGGTACATGGGTTGGACCACATAGGTAGAAGGGTCGGAGTGATCACAGGTACATGGTATCGTATTAAAAAATGACGTGTTCAAAATCCCTTATAAAGATGACCAAGATTCAGAAAGTTAAATTCAAAAAAGTTTATTTCCCTAATACAAAAAGAATCTAAAACAGCTGTCCGGACCAAAAGTATCTAATCCCTATCCTCTATATAAGGTGTAACATTGGTTGGGCGCTCCACCAAGTCACACAGCTAAACCCTGATCCGGACTGAAAAAACTAACTCACACATTCAAGCTATTCATTAAGTAATGTGCAAGGGGAAGGGGCGTGTCGTATCAGGCAGCTCTCAGGTCACGGGTCCATCAGGTCTTCTCCTCCGTCTCGCCAGACCTAAACAGAAATCATTCACACACACTACCCCTCCCTAATTCTATAGAAATATTACTTCCTTGAGATAAGGCAGGAGGCTCTTCAAGGCTGTCCCTCCAGATTCTGGGTCCATCTCCTTCTCCAAACAACGGAAAGGATTAACAGAATCTAGGAATGCAGATCTTGGCCCCCCAGATTAACTATCATTAACTCATATTCTGCACTTTGGACTACAAAGGGAGAAGGGGAGACCAGGTCTTTTTGCTTAGGAAAGAGACAGAGTTCAAATCAGGGTCAGTCAAATTCACATCTGCTTTTTAGTCTATATTTAATACAACAATGGGTTGGACCACATAGGTACAAGGGTCGGAGTGATCACAGGTACATGGGTTGGACCACATAGGTAAATGGGTTGGAGTGATCACAGATACATGAGTTGGACCACATAGGTACATGGGTTGGAGTGATCACAGGTACATGGGTTTGAGTGATCAAAGGTACATGAGTTGGAGTGATCACAGGTACATGAGTTGGACCATAGGTACATGGACGTCGGAACTATGTTCTGAGAGGGGGGGCGGGTTTTTGTTGGGAGAGTCGAGGGAGAGACTCATACTTGGATTACACTGGATAATAACATACCATCTTAATTGTTAAAAAAAATAAACAATATATATCAAGCAAGTCACTTATCAAACTGAACTTTTTTTTTTTCAATACGCATTCATGCGTCAGTCTCTCCGGTGGCTTCATTGTGTTGTGTAGCCCAGTGACGTGCGGTCAGATGAGGCAGGTAAGGCCCTCACCTAAGATCATAGAAAGAAAAGTAATATAATGGATACAATAATGTTTGGTCACTTTATCAAGTGATTTGTGCTGTGCCTTATTTAATTTATTTATACCTTGAAATCGCAGATTTGACAGAGCGGCGCTGTGAGGCAAGCCTCTCTTGGGAGACGTAAAAAGCAACAGCTCACAGGGAGAGTCCTGTGAGGTGCTATCAAACTGTTTTCTCTGTTTATCACAGTTTAAAAAGTTCAAAAATATTTAATTTACAATCAACATGTTTACATTTAAGAGGATGGCTCATAAATTGTGTTTTTGAAGCAAATATGGGTCTTAATCGCGCTCAACCACAGCTTGTAAGTGAGGAAAGCCTCAAGGGGGCGCTTGTGAGCCCAAACTTTGGCTGCATCCAATTCCATCAGAAAGCTCCTTTCTTGTTCTTCTTCTGCTAAGGGCAGCTACAGGTTTGGCTAACATACCTATAATACATTTTAAGATAATTTAAAATGCACTTAGAGTAATGTTTTGCTTCCAATGATGATATGAATCATAAGAAAAAGAGGTGAAGGGTAAGGTTGAATTTAGAAATTGGATTTACCCGGGAGTCGGCTGCAGCAAAACTCGCAGTTTACGGAGGAGACACCCGTTTTTTTTTACTTTTTAAAACTCATTGAACTTATTTCCAAATGGAGGATTACATGTCTGTGCTCAAACTATTATCTGGACTTAAACATGAAACTGGTCCTAACTGAAGTGGTCTGTGCTGTTCATTAACACCTAAGGTATAAGGCCCATAACACACTTTGTACTTTTTACAAACGTTTGCGTTTTGTATGAGAAAACTATGCAGACATTAAATCATATTCTGCTGTAGCCAAACAAATTGTGTATAAGCCGCTCCTGTTCCTGTAGGTCCTGTTGGTTTATATGATGTATAATCATATGAACAAATGATTGATCCCCCACCGCACGTCACTGGTGTAGCCAGGTCTCTAATCTGCGCAAGGCTGAGAAAGAGCGCTCAGAGGCTGCGACAGATATTAGCCAGACAGAGCTTCATAAGCACCTCCGACAGCATGGAGCGGGTTTTGGGCTGCAAGGAACGCAGGATAGTGATAACTTCTCGCTCCCGGCACACGCGGGGGGGTGCGGCCGCACCAGGGGGTGCGGCCGCACCCCCCGCACCCCTAGTTCCGACGTCTATGCATAGGTACATGGGTTGGAGTGATCACAGGTACGTGGGTTGGACCACCTAGGTACATGGGTTGGAGTGATCACAGGTACATGGGTTGGAGTGATCACAGGTACATGTGTTGTGGATTCACAGAAAACAGATCAGAGAATCAAACTCAGGAAAATCAACAATAACAAACACACAGAGGTCCATAAGGAGCAGAACCACAGTCTCTGCATCAGTACCACTCAGGACACATGTGGGCCATAAGGAGCAGAACCACAGTCTCTGCATCAGAACCACTCAGGACACATGTGGGCCATAAGGAGCAGAACCTCAGTCTCTGCATCAGAACCACTCAGGACACAGAGGGCCATAAGGAGCAGAACCAAAGTCTCTGCATCAGAACCACTCAGGACACATGTCGGCCATAAGGAGCAGAACCAAAGTCTCTGCATCAGAACCACTCAGGACACAGAGGGTAACATGAGAAACCTCTGCAGAGCCATACAAATACAGAGAAAACATACAGTGGGGCCAAAAAGTATTAAGTCAGAACCAGTTGGTCAAGTTCTGCCACTTATAAAGACGAGGGAGGCCTGTAATTTTCATCGTAGATAAACCTCAACTATGTATGGAAGCCCGTTTCCCCCATGTAAAAAAAAAAAAGCCTACAGAAAGTCAAAATTTCGACTTTAAAAGTCAAAATTTGACTTGTTATTGTGTTATTGTCTGGAACGGTCTCTGGTCATCCCTGTTATAGATCCATGACCATGGGTCATCCTCTACCTGCAGATTATGTGAAGATATTTCCTACAGACAGTGACCACATCCATGAAGTAGCAGCAATAATGTTGTGGTAGTAATGGCATTAAAATGCAAACGGTCTCTCCGTTTATGATTAGAATCCGCTTCAGAAGCCTCTATTTAGTTTATCCTAAACGGACTGTGGAAGATTAATAATAAAACACATGCGGCTGTTCAAAGTCATTGAGCATCAACTGGTGACGTCTGGTCAGTATCACGGCTATCGATGGATGCACCAGAAATGCACTGAATGGTATTGTGACTGACAGAGAGACCGTTCGCGATTACAGGACAGTGAGGGAGGTCCACAGACAGAGGCAGGAGAACCACAGACAGAGGCAGGAGAACCACAGACAGAGGCAGGAGAACCACAGACAGAGGCAGGAGAACCACAGACAGAGGCAGGAGAACCACAGACAGAGGCAGGAGAACCACAGACAGAGGCAGGAGAACCACAGACAGAGGCAGGAGAACCACAGACAGAAGCAGGTGAACCACAGACAGAGGCACGAGAACCACAGACAGAGGCAGGAGAACCACAGACAGAAGCAGGTGAACCACAGACAGAGGCAGGCAGGTGAACCACAGACAGAAGCAGGTGAACCACAGACAGAGGCAGGCAGGTGAACCACAGACAGAGGCAGGAGAACCACAGACAGAGGCAGGAGAACCACAGACAGAGGCAGGAGAACCACAGACAGAAGCAGGTGAACCACAGACAGAGGCAGGCAGGTGAACCACAGACAGAAGCAGGTGAACCACAGACAGAGGCAGGCAGGTGAACCACAGACAGAGGCAGGAGAACCACAGACAGAAGCAGGTGAACCACAGACAGAGGCAGGCAGGTGAACCACAGACAGAGGCAGGTGAACCACAGACAGAGGCAGGAGAACCACAGACAGAGGCAGGAGAACCACAGACAGAAGCAGGTGAACCACAGACAGAGGCAGGCAGGTGAACCACAGACAGAGGCAGGCAGGTGAACCACAGACAGAGGCAGGAGAACCACAGACAGAAGCAGGTGAACCACAGACAGAGGCAGGCAGGTGAACCACAGACAGAAGCAGGTGAACCACTGACAAAGGCAGACAGGTGAACCACAGACAGAGGCAGGAGAACCACAGACAGAGGCAGGAGAACCACAGACAGCATAACATTTCATTTCACTGCTTTGCTGATGATGTTCAAATCTATTTGCCTTTGAATGTGAATTCCGATTCCGTCCAAGCACTGCAGAAATGTCTTGACGATGTAAAAGACTGGATGTCAATCAATTTTTTAAACCTGAATCACACAAAAACAGAAATTGTACTGTTTGGTGAACCTGATCCGTCTGTTTTCAACGGTGTGTCTAGCCTGTCTTCCTACTGCCGCCCACTTGCAAAAAACCTTGGTGTGTATTTTGATGGTGCTTTTAAAATGGACAAACAAATAAGTTCAGTTGTCAAAGCCAGCTTCTTCCAGCTGAGACTGTTGACCAAAGTTAAAGGCTATCTTCCACCAAATGACCTTGAGAAGGTTGTCCACGCCCTCATATCCACACGGCTGGACTATTGTAACTCTTTATACTATGGCCTTGACCAGTCCTCAGTCCACAGACTGCAGCTGGTACAGAATGCAGCAGCTCTGATGCTGACTGGCACCAGACGACACGAGCACATCACTCCTGTGCTGTCGTCTCTACATTGGCTTCCTGTCGCTTTTAGAATTAAGTTTAAAATGTTATTGTTAGTATTTAAATCTCTGCATGACCTGGCTCCGTCATATCTGACTGACTTGCTTACTTTGCACACTCCGGGAAGAGCACTGAGGTCCTCTGACCAGCTCCTTCTGCACTGTCCCAGGTCTAGATTAAAAACCAAAGGAGACCGAGCCTTTGCTGTGGCAGGGCCTAAACT